ACATCAATGTCTTCAGAATAATAGAGAACGAATTGAACACATCAGCTGAATTCAGAGAGCTGGGAGTTTAATCACAAGACATTCAGAACAAATGCATGTTTCAAATGATATAAACAAGTAAAACGCAAAATCAAGTCTCTCCTTGCTAACAATTTACAGGAAATAATCCAATACTCCTAGGATATATCTAGAACCAAAAAATACATCAATGTCTTCAGAATAATAGAGAACGAATTGAACACATCAGCTGAATTCAGAGAGCTGGGAGTTTAATCACAAGACATTCAGAACAAATGCATGTTTCAAATGATATAAACNATGAAATTCTTTAGCTTTTTAGATGATTTCAGCCTTTTCGGCCAGAGAAAAGCATTTTAGTTTCGACATCTTCTTTCGAGAAAAGAACACGATGACTGAGGTTTCGAAAATGAGAAAAAATGCTATAGCTTTCAAACTCAAACAAAACCGACTGAAAATCTCATTTGGTATGCTAGCACGGAAAAATGAGTAAAACCATTTCGAATAGAATAAAAAAAAATTTTGATCTGTTTGTAGAAAAACGCATCAAACGGGATTTTCATAAAAGGAGTAACGCAAAATCCGGGATTTTTTAACAGTATCGGTATAGACAATTTTCACGGATCAGCAGAAAATGACGTAAGAAGCGGGATAACGTACGAAACGGACAACGTAAAATTGGGGTTCCACTGTATATACATATATTTATTGTATTTTACAAAGGCCATAAATACCATTTTAAAGAAATAAATCACAATTTACGATACAAAAGATGTTTTTAAAATACTAAACTCGATATGGAGAAGTTGGCAACCGTATTAAATACAGTGGCCAAACTGCAACCTTACATTTGTAATTTACTCAGAACAAATAAAGCACAGATTTTAAATGCACAATTCGAGTGTCATATTAATACATAAAGATATCAGTATTTTCAAAACCATGCAGAAATACAGTGCTGAAAAAAAAAAAGCCTGGATTTACAATAAAATTGACAAAAATAAAGCAAGCCAAAGGTGAATAACTATTTGCACAATACAAATTTTGTGAGTCATAATATGTGTTAAAAAAAGATCGTGAATTTAATAAGCATCGAAATTCAACAAAAAAAAGGAAAGGAAAGAAACCCCCCCTTCTTAATTATGCTGAGGTGCGACCACAGGCTTCCTATCATAGAAGTGAAGTATTTCTGGACCACACGCCCACTAACTTTTGAGCCTTTTGCACCGTGGAGTGTTATTTACATCACCGTTCCAGCTCTTTTCTGTAAATGTTTATGAACCGTAACATTTTACAGAAAACAATGTCTTCAGCAAAGATAGAGAACAAAATGTATTCATCAGCTGAACTCAGAGAGCTGGGGTTGTCATCACAAGACATTTAGAACAGATGCTAATGCATGTTTTAATAATAATAAAAAAATAAAACCTGTAGATAATTATTTTTTTGTTAGTCAAATTTACTTCCAGTTTTTTTGTGAAAATGTAAACTAACAATTTACAGGAAATAAAACATTCCCATGACATTGATTTTTAGAACCAAAAATATATCAATGTCTTCAGCAACGATAGCGAACAAAAATGTACTCAGAAGGATTCAGAGAGCTGGGAGTGTTGCCACAAGACATTTAGAGCAAATACTAATGCAGATCGCATATTCTAATGATAATTATAAAAATAAATAAAAACATGTGCAGATAATTTCTTTGTTAATAAATTTTACTGCTAGCTCCTTTCTGAAAATGCTTGTGAACTGTGACAATTTACAGGAAATAATCCAATATCCCTTAATATATATCTAGAACCAAAGATACATCAATGCCTTCAGAACATCAAAAAAACATCAGCTGAATCCAGAGAGCTGGGAGTTTAATCACAAGAGCAAAATGCTAATGCATGTTTTAATAATTAAATACGTAAATTAAAAAAAACAGGCAGATAATTATTTCCTTGTTAGTCAATTTTACTTCTAGCTCTATTCTGAAAATGCTTGCAAACTGTGATAATTTACAGGAAATACAATATCCCTATGATATTGAGTTTTAGAACCAAAAATAAATCTATGTCTTCAGCAATGATAGAGAACAAAATGTATTCATCAGATGAACTCAGAGAGCTGGGAGTGTCATCACAAGACGTTTAGAGCAAATGCATGTTTCAATTTTACTTCTAGCTCTAGTCTGAAAGTGTATACTAACTGCGACAATTTACAGGAAATACAATATCCCTATGATATTGATCTTTAGAAACAAAAATATATCTATGTCTTCAGCAATGATATGAGAACAAAATGTACTCGGCAGTTTAATTGAGAGAGATGGGAGTGTCAACAAGACGCAGAAAATGCGCAGATAATTATTTCTTTGTTAATCAAATTTACTTCTAGCTCTTTTCTGAAAATGCTTGTGAAGTGTAGCTATTTACAGGAAATAATCCAATATCCCTAAGATATATCTAGAATTTAAAAAATGCATTAATGTCTTCAGAATAATAGAGAACGAATTGAACACATCAGCTGAATTCAGAGAGCTGGGAGTTTAATCACAAGACATTCAGAACAAATGCATGTTTCAAATGATATAAACAAGTAAAACGCAAAATCAAGTCTCTCCTTGCTAACAATTTACAGGAAATAATCCAATACTCCTAGGATATATCTAGAACCAAAAAATACATCAATGTCTTCAGAATAATAGAGAACGAATTGAACACATCAGCTGAATTCAGAGAGCTGGGAGTTTAATCACAAGACATTCAGAACAAATGCATGTTTCAAATGATATAAACAAGTAAAACGCAAAATCAAGTCTCTCCTTGCTAACAATTTACAGGAAATAATTCAATATCCCTTAGATATATCTAGAACCAAAAAATAGATTAATGTCTTCAGAATAATAGAGAACGAATTGAACACATCAGCTGAATTCAGAGAGCTGGGAGTTAAATCACAAGACATTTAGAGTAAATCAATGTTTCTAATGATATAAACAAGTAAAATGCAAAAATTAAGACTTTTTGCTATCAAATCTGAAAATTTAAAATATGTAATACATTCAGCAATAAGAGAACAATGCAATATCATTATCTGAATATTGAGAGCTGGGAGTTTCACCACCAAACAAGTATTTCTCAGACAACAGATTATCCAAAAAAGAATAAAGCTGAAATTTATGGTTATAGCAAAACTTCAGAAGCTTGCTTTATAAAATATAAATAGAACATTAATTACAAATAAAATACATAAATCAAAAGAAATATTAAAAATGAATTACATTTTTTTATTAATATATTAAATGGTTTCAGTCTTAAGTTACATGCCTGTGCCACCTTTATATAGCTTAAAAATGTAATTTATTGAAATGATTTCTTACTAGGAGTCAAAGTAATGATTTAATTGTAGTTAAGACTCAGCAAATTTAATAATCAAAACTTAGAAACAAGCAATCAGATAAGAACAGATCATTTTTCTCAATTTTGCATAATCTCTGGGAAGTTTCCTAGATCAAGGGTCTTCCTAGGTTTTTCTGAGAGGTACCTATTTTGTGAAAATTTAGACATAATCTGGTGAAAATTAAAAATTATATTAAAATATCAACACAAAAATATGAATTTATAGTTTCTTACAGCATACAAAAATTAAAATTTTAAGAAAAAGTATTTTGCGAAACTACCGCTAAACGGTAGTAACTTTGGTCCTGTAAACTGAAATTTTTGGAAGCGCATTTGATCAAAGATCTGAAAAAAATTCTATTTAATGGATGATAGACTATGATTTCTTTCATGATAATCGATAGACTAATAACAGGGTTGCCACTCAAATCTGGAGAAAAAAAATGCCCTGTGCTATCCCTGTACATGTTATAAGTAATATATTAAGAGGAAACAACAATTACTGTCCTCTTGTGTGAGCTATATTGGGCTAACCATATTTATTAGTTTCAATTGCTGGAAAAACAGTGAACATACTTAAATAATGCTATGATAAATGAAATAGTTTAGTATAGCTGAAATAACATGGTTAAATATCCCACAGATAACGCTTTGAGTGGTCATCATTTTTTAAAAGACCAAAATAAAAAAACAAAGTTCCCTGTACAGGGGTCTGACCAGGCCAAATTTACTATTATTTAGCAGTACCTTCACCAGGGGTCTGTCCAGTCCAAATTTGCTACCGTTTAGCGGTACCTTCACAAATTCAACTTTATGAAAAACGGTACTTTCACAAAATACTTTTTCCTAAAATTTTATTTTTGTATTCCGTAAAAAACGATAAATCCATATTTTTACCACATTTTTGTGCTCATTTTATTAATATAATTTTTAATTTTCACAAATTATGTCTAAATTTTCATAAAATAGGTACCTCACAGAAAAACCTAGACAGACCCCTGTTCACAAATTCAACTTTAGGAAAAACGGTAGTTTCACAAAATACTTTTTCTTAAAATTTTATTTTTGTATCCCTTAAGAAACGATAAATCCACATTTTTACCATACTTTTATGTTGATTATTAAATATAATTTTTAATTTTTCACAAATTATGTCTAAATTTTCACAAAATAGGTACCTCTCAGAAAAACTTAAGACAGATCCCTGCTCTATCTTCCCAGTTTGTAAAGAAAAAATCAAAATTCCCTGCATTTCCCGTTATTTTAGGTGATTTTTAAATTCCCTGTATTTTCCAGGTTTTCCCTGTTCTCCATGTGAAGTGGCAACCCTGAACAACCAAAAGTACTTGTACATCAACAGAAAAATTAAAGCCCTTCACTCTCACACCAGGGGAAATAAATAGCAACAAATTAAACATGAGTTTTAAAAATTAGAATCTATTCCTAATTGAGCAGAAGTTGCTCATAGGTCTTTTAAAAGTATACCTATTTCAGCTCAATAGGGAACTCAAGTTTAAGTATTGTGCAAAACTGAAAATTATGATTTCATTTCAGGCGTCACTAAACTTAACTAAACTCAAATTGTATACTTACAAACTTATGTCTCCATTACAACTGATTCTTCTGAATGTTTGCCTTTGTTTTTGTCTGCCAGCTGTTTACCCTTAGCACGTCTATCAAGAAGACTTTTCCTATCTTTATCCATCTTTAGTTTTACGATGACAAGATTTGAGGGATGAATTCCAACATGAACGCTAGCTCCATTTGCTTTCTCTCGTTGGATTCTTTCAATGAAAACTGAATATTTTTTACGGTAAACCTGCACAAGTAAGAAAACCACTAAGAATCTCTAAGGCAGCAAACTAATTAAGTATCAAAGTCTTAAATTAGTTCAAATAATTTATCAAAACATAAATAAAAATTAAACATAATTTAAAAAATCCAACTTAACTACCTTTCCATAAAGTTTAATTTTATTAAAAATGATCTCTTCAACAAAACATGGCAAATTTTGCCCAACATTTAGTTTCATATATTTTATATCCTTGCAATATTTGAAGTATCGCAATATTAGATTTTAAATTGCGAGAATATAAATTCTGATATGCGGATTTTAAATTATATGAATATGAAACTATATTGTATTTCTAAAATGCGAAAATAGATGCGGTATAGGATTTTAAAATCTTGTAATTTGCAACGTTTAAATTAGGTAAAAACTAAAATCAATGTTTGCTATAAGAATCGAGATAATAGCGAAAATAAGTAAAAATGCGGAAGGGTTGGCAACTTATAGTTTGAATTTTCTGTTTAGCTTTGAAAATCGAAAATAAATGTACTTTACTTCAACAACTGAATTTTAAAGAAAAGCATTTTTTAAATAACTGAAACTTATAGAGAATCTGAGTTCTTGATAAAAAGGCTGAAAATCGAAAGACAAAAGCGAAAAAAGAGGAAAATCGCTAAAAAGCGGAAAACTCCCATCCCTATTTTTGTCATTAGTGGATATTGTTTCGGCAAAATTAATAATTTTTAAACATTTCTTCAACAAATGCGGAGAAATTAGAGAATATACTGATAAACTGAAGTCTCAGTTAAAAAACAGGAAACTTGGCAGGTACAGCAGTAGAAAAGTTTGCGTAAAACCTTTACTTGAAGATATCCCCTCCCCCCTTGGTTTCAAGCTAGGTTTCTCTCAGAAGGACACATTGAATACTATTTTAATCTCTTAATAGAAAGTAACTCAGCAGATAAGAATTTATTAAAAACAGTACTAATATCCAGACAGCATCTTAATAATTTTAAATATATAAAAGTTGCAGCTGAAGAAAATCAAAATGCTGAAGAAACCAAACACAACATTAAACTACATTTTAATTAACTGTTATTACAAAAATTATATAATAATTATTCTCTAATTTTCTCTATCTAAATTTTTATTTGCATGCTTAACTTCAGCTACTACAGCTTAAAGTATAATATAAATTAACAGTGAAAATATGCAACAAAAATATTGTTGCAATATCATAAAGTCAATATATATTTAGTATAGAGAGGACTTCTTTTCAAGAGTCTAATAACAATGCATAATTATATTTATGAGCTCCAAGAACCTTAAGTAATTGCTATTATTGCAACAACAAAAAAACTAACAAACAAAAAAAAAGACTAGCAGAAAAAGTAATTTACAATGGAATTGTTATGAAATGAGTGTGGCAAAAATTACTAGAATACAAAATTATAATATCTTGTTAAGTAAATGGTTGGAAAAAAAAACCAAGAAAAAAGTGGATCTATGATGACATCAAAAAGTGAGTTCTGAAGAAGTCATTAACAAACAGAAAATTTTTGCATTGTTACATCACATTGATCAAAAATAGATCATAGTATTTATATCAAATGAAATGAAGGATCAGAAAACTAATGAAATTTGCAATTGAACTGTTATGAATCAAGCACAAAAAAAAATGCTAGCTTAAAAGTGAAAGGTTTATCATAATAAAGTTGGATTAAAAATATCCGAATTAATGCTACTGAATTCTTCGTAATGTAAGGACATTTGAATTACAGTCGAACCCCGCTATAGTGAACCATCTGCGGACTCAGTAATGTGTCCACTTTAACCGATGGTTCACTATATCCAAATTTTTTGAAGAATATTTTTTGCATAAGACAGTTGAATGATTGAAAATTGACTTTGCAATTTTGCACAAGTTATTTAAAAAATTATTAACTAATTAACAGATAATAAAGCAAAAATTNATATTTTATCGGCAAAATTATTAATATTTAAAAAAAATTTCTACAACAAATAGAGAAATTTGAGAATATACTGATAAACAGAAGATAGTCGTAAAACACGGAAGTCTTAGTTAAAAAACAGGAGACTTGGCAGGTATGTCAGTAGAAAAGTTTACATAAAACCTTTACTTAAAAATATCTCCCCCCCCCCTTGGTTTAAAACTAGGTTTTTCTCAAAAGGACACATTGAATACTATTTTAATTCCTTAATAGAATGTAACTCAACAGATAAGAATTTATTAAAAACAGTACTAATATCCAGGCAGCACTTAATAATTTAAAAAATATAAAAGTTGCAAAAGAAAATCAAAATGCTGAAGACAACATTAAAATACATTTTAATTAACCGCTACTACAAAAATTATATAATAATTATTCTCTAATCTTTCTATCTAAACTTTTATTTACATGTTTAACTTCAGCTTGAAGTTATTAGATAAACAGTGAAAATAAACAAAAATATTGTTGCAATATTATAAAGTCAATATAGAGGACTCATTTTCAAGAGTCTAGAAACAATGCATTTTTAAATGTTATGAGCTCAAGAACCTTAAATAACTGCCATTATTGCTAGCAGAAAAAGTAATTTACAATGGAATTGTGATGAAATGTGTGTGGCAAAAATTACTAGAATACAAAATTATAATATCCTGTTTGGTATTAAAATTGGAAAAAAGTGTGGAGCTCACTGAGCTCGGCACAAACTGCTAAAAAATCAAATAGACGATGTGGATTCTCAACAGCATTGAGTTATCTAAACTCGCTCAAACCAGACGGATGAAGAAAAAAAAACCTTCCTCAGTTCGCATGCTTTGAGTTTATCGTACTATGATGAGAATAACATATTGAGACCATGTATGATCCTAAATTGGTTACATTCTAAATATGCACTGCGGAATAATATCAGTTAAATAAAATCCAGATTTTTAATGGAAATGGTTGAAAAACAATTAAGGTGAAAAAGTGGAACCACAATCGAATGAGCTTAAAAAATTGAGTTCTAAATAAGTTATTAACAAATAGATGCAATTGAAATTTGTGCATAGTTACAACACATTGATCAAAAAATAGAACATAGTATTTATAAACAAATGACATGAAGGATCAGAAAACTAATACAGGATAGAATCAAATACATGTGAGATTAACTCTTAATAAATCACTATCAAATAGATGTTACTGAGAGGATATTTCCATTTCATGATCTGTCAAACCAACTATAATCGCCAAGATGCCAAATAGTTTCTAATTTTTAAAAAATGTTTGCCCAGGGGTGGCTACAATTTATACATTTTAAGTAGGCCCCTTTCTGTGAAGTCGTTTTTAGTTTCTCGTGTTCAGATGCCCGGAAGTTGCCAAGACTTGGCGATTATTCTGCCACGGATCACAATACGGAAATCCCCCCAAAAGCTTCACATTTTTTTTCTTCATAATATGACAATGAAGTAGATTTACAATGAAATCAAATGTGTCAAAAGTGATAACTGAAATTTGAAAACTGATTTCAGAAATGAAAATACATGAATCACAGGCTTTGAACTGCTGATTAATCTTATAATTAAATTCAACTTCATAGTTCTTTGTTTTAGAAACTGTTTCTTGTTTGTTCAGTTCCAATTTTCCCTGTTTTCACGATTGTGCTATATATAGTATGAGAGATAAGCAGTAACAATAAATTTATTTTCATCATTTACATTTAAATTATCAAGCTGTTTTAAATATTTTGGTTGATACAAGTTAAAATATTACACTCGCTTGGTTAAAATGTTTTATTACATTTTGATGAAAAATATCATGATTGATTATTCACACATTAAAAATTATTTTAGAGTAGCTTACAAATTTTAGTGAAAAATTATTAATTTTGTTAAATCGTGGTATCAATACCACGTTGTTAGTCTACCGAATTCAATTATGCTATAGACTCCTCAGAAGTTCTAAACAATCAATAACAAGTAAACATACTAAAAACTGATATCAACGTAATGTTATTAAAAATATAATAATACCTGAACAATTTTTCCGATCTGTTGGCCTTTATAATGTCCCCTTACAACTTGGACCTCGTCATCTTTTCTAATCGGCACAGAGCGAACTCCATATTTCTGACGCAGTTCTTTGGATAATGGAGCACTCATAATAATTCTTCTAATATGTGAGGGGGCATTGAAATGCCTCTTCCTTTGTTTCCTTCGGGAAGAGGTGATTAATTTATTCATCTTCATTTTGAATTTACTTGAAATTAACACGACACGTGCCGTTTCCTGAAATAAAATGAAATCCAAGTGTTGTAATGTGAAATGTTGCCATACAAATTTGAAATAAAGTATTTTTAATTGTGTTGCCATCAGTCAAGCAAATGCATACGATTTTCAGCAATGTTAGGAGCCATGCGCACTGAAAGCGATTCACGTGCCTTCAACCCCCGCCTAAAGAAAAGTATAACTTGATTGGTGAGTTTTCCCCAGGAGAATATATTTCACCAATCAAATTCCCATTCTCACTCAACAGTGATCAAAGGTGCGTGAATCGCATGCAGTGACATTAGCCCTTGATTGACGTGATAACCTGGTTGGTAGATCTGAGAAGTCGAGAGTTCGATCCCTGCCGGCAGAAGACTCCCCGTGTACAAAATGGTGACTGATTCACGTTACATCTGTCGGAGTGATAAAGTTCTCATAACAAATCAATGCCACGGGGGGTAGTGGATCTGAGGTAGAACGTGCTCTAATTCAGGTCAAAATTGCAATCTGCGGATGGATGGTGTCTGAATGTGTCCTCCCTGTAAAACGGGATGTGATGCAAAAATGTTGTCCCCAAATCATCCCAAGGAATGTTTCTCAGACCGTCGCCAATGACCCATTGTGCTGCTCTAGTGCGATTAAAGTAAAATACCATTGCGCTCTTTTGAGGGACTGCTCACACATGTGTGGCAATCTCGTATTATAATACGAGATTGCTATGTTGTACAATTTCATCCAGTAGATGTCCACTAGACGTCATCGCAAACATTCACGAAGGTTCATGTGGTCACCCGGTGGACCTCCACAAGACAAAGACATCCATATTTGATCCAGGGAAGATTCGATAGAAGTCCAAAAGAAGCTTTTCAGACATCTACCATAGCTTTTGCGTGGATATAGCACATGGATGATTTGAGCGCTTGCTAATCCAGACATAGACATTTCATAGACAACCACGGGAATTATTCCTGATCTGCTGGAAGATGAGTAATGAACATGCACTTTGTATATCGTTCATATATATGAACGATACGCAAAGCTTTGTATTCCAATCCTAGGACACGTCCTAAATTTATCATTCCTTGTTTTAGGACATGTTTTTTTACACGTTACAGAGAGGGGCGGATTAAGCGTATGCGGGGCCCTAGGCCATTCAAATTTTTGGGGCCCTTAGATTGCATTTTTTTCTCGCATATTTTTTATTTATTCAAATATAAAAGTATTTATCTATCTTTTCATTTAAGAAAGCATTTGTAAAACAAGAATAAATAATAATAAATTAAATTTTACTTTATTTTATTAAATTGGAACTAAAAAATAATCATAACATTTTGAAAAATCATTGTTTTTCTTAATTTTTTAAAATTTATTTTCAAAAAATCTATTTTAAGGGGGCCCCTAACCATTGGGAGCCCCAGGCCATGGCCAATCCGGCCCGGGTTGCAGATTTCGCAAATACGAAATGTTTCACATCTTGATGCCCTCAATAGATGTAACAGTGTAGAAACCAAATTAAAAACTTTTAATTTGGTTTAAACCTTTTTTGTAACTTTTCAGTTATACATATGACAGTGCGCACGCACTGTAACCTTAAAACATAGAGCGTGCTAGTTTTTTTAATTTTATTATTATTACTTTAAAGAAATGAAAAGTTTAAGATGAGTCATAAAATTCTTCAGACTCCCAACTACTCAGCCAACGAAAAAAAATCGTCCCAATTACAAGCTTTTTAACATCAAAATGTGTTTTAAAGTATAAATGCAATTAGCAAATATTTACACTCTTTTCAAAAATATTGATTTTTTTTTGTTTTTAGTTAATAATATGAACATAAAGAAAACTACTTACAGTCTCAGTTAAATCAGTAAAGATAGCTTGTATGATGATATTTATTAATTGACAATTTGATTTATTGAATAAATACATTAACTGATAAAACATTTCAACATTTGGTCAATTATCTAGACTGAATTTAACTGAATTAGTGAATATAATTAACTCAATGTGATCATACTTTTAGAAGTAATCTATCTTTCCTGATTCAAAAAATTCCTGATTTTATAACTACAACCCAATAAAACTTTATGCAACATGAAATATTTTATTATAAAAAATACATTATTGACATGAATTTTTCACAGATTTTTTTTTTTTACTCATTATCACGGGAACAACATGGATGCATACTTATCTGTTGTTATGCTTAAGGGCTCCAACGCATAACCTTTTGCAATCTTTTTGAAGGACACCACACAAGAAAGTAGATCTCTCACATAAATTTGAATCAACAACTCCTCTCTTCTAAATTTATTAAGTTCTCCTATAGTTTTTTCATACACACATTTCATCTCTACACGAAGGAAAACTTTTAATCAACTTCTCTCCAATACTTCCTTTCACTATGGCCTGTGATAGATACGAAAATTTATCATGATTATCCGAAATGGGATCTTCATAAATTTTTTAAAATAGTTTTCAAAAACATAGTCGGTTAATCTCTCCATTAAAAACGGGAAGTTAAATTTCAGGACAAGGCGACAACGTATTTCTTGACAAAGCATTTTCACCAAATACAAAATCTTTTATTCCAGAACTTGTAAATTTTATAATTCTGTTCTAAAAGACACCAACGATCAATATATGTTTCCAATTCAATTCAACAAATTCAGCCTCACATGTTACTTCATGAACTTCTCTAGCATTAAGATTAGCTCTGATTTTCATTTCAGTGCCTATCAATAAGTCTGCTTTTTGTTCAATAAGTTTAATTAGCTTGTCATCACTGTTTCAAATAGACTCTTCTTAATCAAAATCATTGTAAGTTTAGAGAATAATCTTCGATATAGTGCTCGAGCTTTGATTACGATATAGACAAACAATTACGAATATTTGTTGAGTGTTTATCACTGTGATAAATACTCAACAAATATTATTTCGTGAAAATGACTCAATGAAATGGTATAGTTGCTCAAATGGTCCTTTTCAAATGAATTATAATAGGAAATTTCACATTTATAACATTTAACTCAAAAAATACTCAGTAGTATGATAATCTACTCTCAACATTTAAGCTTTTAGAACACCAAAAGCCATCAATTGCTATGGGGAAAATGAACTAAAGCGAGACAGTTGAACTTACATAAAAAGTAATTNGATTTCGCTGAAATTTTGCATTTTGTCATGTTTAAAACTTACAATGTTTTGTAATCCAATTTATATGCGAACAAATAACTTGTTTTCATAAATATATTCACTAACATAATACATAAATAGCTAAAATGACAGTTAGAGATGGAGTACTGAAAGTTTTAGAAAGGGCCCCCGCCAAAAATGTTTGCCCCAGGGCCCCGAGGAGTGAAGTTACGGCACTGTATCGTTCATATATATGAACGATATACAAAGCTTTGTATTCCAATCCTAGGACATGTCCTAAATTTATCATTCTATGTCCTAGGACAAGTTTGTTACACGTTACTGAGTTCGTATATACGAAATCTGTCATTAAGTATTTTACATTATTATGCCCTCAATAGATGTAACAGTATAAAAACCAAATTAAAGACTTTTAATTTGGTTTAAACCTTTTTTGAAACATTTCAGTTATGCATGTGACAGCGAGCACTGTAACCTTAAAACCTAGCGCGTGCTAGGTTTCTTTATTATTATTATTACTTTAAAGAAATCAAATGTTTAAGATGATTCGTAAAATTCTTCAGACTCCCAATTACAAGCTTTTTAACATCAAAATGTGCTTTTAAAGTATAAATGCAATTAGCAAGCATTTGTACTTTTTTCCCAAAATGATGATTTTCTTTTGTTTTTTGTTAATAATATGTACATAAAAAGAACTACTTTCACTTTCAGTTAAATCAGTAAAGATAGCTTATATGATGATATCTATTAATTGACTATTTGATTTATTGAATAAATACATTAGCTGATAAAAGTTTTCAACATTCAGTCAATTATCTATACTAAATTTAATTGACTTAGTGAATATAATTAACTCAATGTGATCATACTTTTAGAAGTAATCTGTCTTTCCTGATTTTATAATTACAACCCAATAAAACTTTATACATGAAATATTTTATTATAAAAAATACATTATTGACACGAATTTTTCACAGATTTTTTGTTTACTCATTATCATGGGGAACAACATGAATACATACTTATCTGTGGTTATGCTTAAGGACTCCAACGCATAATCTTTTTGAAGAACACAACACAAGAAAGTAGATCTCTCACATAAACTTGAATCAACAACTCCTCTCTTCCAAATCTACTTTTACGTTGGCCTATAGTTTTTTCATACACACATTTCATCTCTACACAGTGCCGTAGAGAGCTTAGCTCGCGCCCGGGGCACAATACCTTTTCAGCGCCCCCCCCCCCATTCGAAAACCATCTAATATTATAAGTAAAATATACTCGCAAAGTAATAAATAAATAAAGTAAAATAAATAAAGTCATAGGCTCAAGCTAGGCATTAAATTTGAGACAAAAAATCTAGTTGAGAAAACAAGACTAGATTTTGAAATGTATATGATCATCTAGAATTAGTTCAAAAGATACCTATTATTTATTTTACATATTTATAAAGAAATATTTTAAAAATATGCAGTTTTAAAACAATAAAAAAGTAAATATTTATTATCTCGAAGGAAATACATATATTTAATAATATGATTATAATACATTAATAAAACTAATTACTATGTATACATTTTCCGCTTTTGATGAAGCAAATTTATCAATAACATCATTAAAGTTGATCATACTTTAATGATAAAGTTGATCGTAAGCTACTTTGCGTTTATAGAAATAAAAAATAGTGTTCTGAAAGAAAGAATGTTTGTACACTGTACAAACAAACAAACACTTTGTACACTGATGTTTGTACCTTGTACACTGCAAATATTTGGAGATAATATATGTAACCACACAGCGTAGATGCCATAAGGAAGTGCTGACAGACACAGGTCGAGTCAGCCCTGACATTAGAAAAGACGCGTCATTTCTATTATGAATACATTATTACAGTTTGATAGTGTTACTTTTTATTTACGAATTAACATTTATTATATTTCACTGGCACTAAATCTAAAATATATTTTCCAGAAATAAATTATAATAAAAATAAAAAATTATCCAACAATTTTTTTTTGTTTTTCTGACCATTTGGCGCCCCTCTGTGAGTAGCGCCCGGGGCATGATGCCCCCCTTGCTCCCCCCTCGCTACGCCACTGTCTCTACACGAAGGAAAACTTTTAATCAACTCCTCTGCAATACTTCCTTTCACTATGGCCTGTCCTGTGATAGATACGAAAATTTATCTTGATTATCCGAAATGGGATCTTCATCAATTTTTTAAAATAGTTTTCAAAAACATAGTCGGTTAATCTCTCCATTAAAAACGGGAAGTTAAATTTCAGGACAAGGCGACAACGTATTTCTTGACAAAGCATTTTCACCAAATACAAAATCTTTTATTCCAGAACTTGTAAATTTTATAATTCTGTTCTAAAAGACACCAACGATCAATATATGTTTCCAATTCAATTCAACAAATTCAGCCTCACATGTTACTTCATGAACTTCTCTAGCATTAAGATTAGCTCTGATTTTCATTTCAGTGCCTATCAATAAGTCTGCTTTTTGTTCAATAAGTTTAATTAGCTTGTCATCACTGTTTCAAATAGACTCTTCTTAATCAAAATCATTGTAAGTTTAGAGGATAATCTTCGATATAGTGCTCGAGCTTAGAATACGATATAGACAAACAATTACGAATATTTGTTGAGCGTTATCACTGTGATAAGTGCTCAACAAATATTATTTCGTGAAAATGACTCAATGAAATGGTATAGTTGCTCAAATGGTCCTTTTCAAATGAATTATAATAGGAAATTTCACATTTATAACATTTAACTCAAAAAATACTCAGTAGTATGATAATCTACTCTCAACATTTAAGCTTTTAGAACACCAAAAGCCATCAATTGCTATGGGGAAAATGAACTAAAGCGAGACAGTTGAACTTACATAAAAAGTAAGTGCTCAACCATGTGATTTCAGCTGCACTCTTCTTGAATTACAAGTATCAAGTTCTCAATTGACTCTGTTGCTTTGCGGTAAAACCTGAACTCGTGGCACCTGGTTCGTTGGCTCAAGATTGGTCAATGTAAACACATTACTCCTCGACCACAATCATCTGTCTCTTTTAAAAACAATTGTATTGGACCTTGATCCACAGAATGTTTTATTGCGATCTTCGGATTTTTTAATCAATCTCACTGTTCTTGCGAATGTGCACGATTTTGTCGAAACCAGTAGAGGTCCCCGGTTGCGGTTCTGACTTCGTTATTAGATTATCCAATTCCTAATTATACCAAATTTGGAGGGAGAAAATACTATTACAACTTGAAATAATGCACTTCAAAATAAATAGGTGCTGGTTCAGGAAACAGTGTGAATGGCTCGGACTAATACAATCTTTTGAAATTTAGTGCGCGCACAAAGGGATATCGTGTAGATATGCTCATCAACCTTAAGCAGTAAAACTAAGTTTCCTAAACTGTACAATTCATCACAAAGATCTTTATCTTTGATTTTATATACTCGGAACTCTTTTTCTTAAAAAAAGTTTTTGTATAAGCTCGTAGATACAAGATTATGCCGCACGCGATAAATATAAATATTAAAAACTTTTAAGATTAACTGTTAATTTACATACTCTTTACAAACGTTTTTAATGGGAATTTTCATTTCCATATTTTTTACCCCTTGCTGTACTCAGAATTTTCAACCGTGATCAACAACAGAGCTTTCTAGGAAAATCTCAGTACAAAATAAAATTTCAAAAAGAACAGACTTTTGTGAGAAATTAAGCTATTTTAAAATTATCAGCAGTGAAGTACTTAAATTTTTATTTTTAGAGCACAATACGGTTAATTTCACATAAACCCATAAAAGTAATCAGTTTCAGTTATTTTCTAGTAACCAGTATATAATCACAGAAAATTTTTGCCACTTAGAAATATTCAGACTAGAATTTTGGTAATTATTAAATATAATGTGAAGTTTTACATATCATGTTTTGAGCGTCATTTGTGGTATAATGCTCAAATTTCTATAACCAGTACACAAAACAGAGCAGGGAAATTTCTAACAAATCTTTGGAAAAAATAGGTTGTTTTAATTTTTTTTGGATTTTATAGAAGAAAACAATTTTGGGTAGAACAATGGTTTTATGTCCAGATCTCCATTTTTCTCTTTTTCTTCTGCCCATTTGAGTGTAAATGATTCACAATGTTTTTTCAATCAGCTTTAAGATTCTATATTTAAAATTAATTTGCATTTAGAACATATTTAAAATGCTGCAATTTTTACTTATTTAAGCACTATGTACAAGGCAGTTTTAATCTCATATTCTTTCCAAAGCTAATTTTTTTTTCATTGCTTACAAAATCAAGACATGAATTATTGTACCTACTAGGACTATCAACTGACTGATGCTGAAAGCATGCCGTCAAATGTTGCCATAGAAAAAGAATTTCGCTATGCGCTATTTAAAGTCTGTGAGTAATTTTCTCTATTTTCTTATTAAAAGTCTGTTCTCTATTTTCTACTTGCATTAATTTTTGGAACACTTGTCCAGAATCCTAAAAACAATTTTATTGTACCGAATATGAAATGTTTTTCGTTAGGAAAATAAATTTGAAACTGAATTTTGTAAAGAAATAGAAAAATTCTAGCAACTGAAGATAAATTTTTTGCAATAACAAAATTTAACCACATTGATTGGGGCTGTAACCTATTCATAGAAGATCTGCAATCAGTCTTTTCTAGATCTGAAAAATACGAATTAAATTTTGACATAACAATGTACTTTGAGAATGAAAATTATTAAGAATAAGGTCTTAATAAAGAAAGTTTATAGACAAAGTTGGTTAATATAACAACTCTTTCGAAATTTCCTAAAAACTATTAAATAGATTTAATTAACAAGATATCTTTTCGTAAAATTAACCATTTGTTTTTGTTTTTAGGGCTCATTTCTAGTTGGACATGCAATTTTTGTTTAAAAATTGTGGGTAACCTCTCATAAAATAACATATGACATATAGGAGAAAATTTTGCTTAATGTAACAAATGCAGAAGACAATCACTCAAAGAAAAAAAAAGCATGTAAAAATAGTTGAATTTATTTAAAACCAATAAAAATAAATAAGATTATCCTTTCGGATAAGTAACTGAAAATAATGAGTCTTAGAAATAAAAAGCTTGGAAATAAAGAAAATTAAGTCGCAATTTATTATCCATTTTTCACAATCAATAAATATCTAATTCATAAAAATAAATATTTATTAAGATTTTTTTTTTGAAAATTATATAAATACATAACAGAGAAAAATTGATTAAGTTTTTTCCTTTTTATCAGAATCTTTTTCCTCTTTCTCTTCCTCTTCTTCTTCATCATCATCTTCATCATCATCATCGTCCTCATCTTCTTCATCATCGTCATTAGAAGAATAATTACCATAGTCATAATCTTCATCATAATTATTGTAGCCACCTTCAAACAGAAATAATGCAAACTGAGATTGATCATAAAATATGTCGAGCATAAAAAATTGTAGTTATGAAATATTTGCAGGATAACAAAAAGCAAAATAATACTTTTTTTAATGATAAATCTTTTTTTTTCCCTTAAAATTTTTTAAATGCACCAGAATAAATTTTAACGGAATTTGAAGCTTTACCTTTTTGTTCCCTTCCCTTATGAAATAAAAACATGAAATAGAAGTAGGTACATAAGGAGTAGGCTAATAAATAGGAAAGCAACCTAGTTGAAGTTCAGAAGAAATCATATTTGATGCCAGAGGATTATTAGTTAGAAACAATGAATAGTTAAGCTATAATTTTTTTTTAATGTTGAGTGTGCACTAAGGTTTAAGATTTAGTAAATAAAATCGATCAAATATGTATTAAGAAACTTAAAATTTTATAAAAATTGGAAACAAACTTATAATAATAATAAAGAAACTAAATAATTTCAGAATTATATTAGAGCTAGTGAAATCAAGTTTTATCATATATGATTGAACTTTTTTATTGTATTTGAATTAAACATGGTCTACAAAACATTTTTAACAATGTATTACAGGAGTAAAAACAATTTAAATGTTCATTCTTTTGTTTCTTTTAAGGAGAAGAAAAGTTTAAAAACATTGAACTAAGCACAGGTTGTTAAAATTTACCCTAACAAATGTTAAGTTGTTCTACGAGATCTTCTATTATATACTTTCTAAGTTAATTTTTTATTTTATTTTTCAATATAATTAAATAGTCTTATTTAACTTAATCTTAAAAAGCATTGGATTATATTCCTTAACAACTTCATGTATCATTAATATGAAACGAAGCAATACAAAAAATAAATTTCATTTACTCTTAAAAGGTGACTTTAAAAATAACTACAATTAATTTAAAAGTTTTATTTCTATTATTAATAAAAAAGTTACGTATTTTTTACTTGATGTAATAAATATTATTTAAAAAAATTTAACAAAGAATACAAAAAAAAAGTTTAGGCGTGAAATAAAGGTTTTCTAGAGAGTAAAAGTCTAATTTTCCACTTAGCCATGACAAAAAATAAATCTGCAGTGTTAGCTGAATAATTTTCTTAATTTGTTAACAGAAAATTTGGAAAACTGAGATTATTACTACTTTAAGATCAACTTAATGATTGGGAAACCAAAGTTTCCTAGAATTAAAAATATAGATTTATCAAACATTAAAACTAACATTTCATCGGGGGTTTCGAAATTATATGATTCAACAAATTTTATTGCACAAGAGTAATAAAATATACTATTTTTAATTTACTTGGATAACAAAAGAGAGTTTTAACAGCTTCTAGCATAATAGTATTAATGGAGAATTGAACAACTCACAATAGTTTTAGATCAATATATATATATATATNTAATCATGAATATAAGCTTATAAAGTATATCTCTGGCTCTTCCTTACAAACAAATAAAATAAACTGTGTTTGAAAAACATCGCTAGGAGTACAGAAAAGTCTCCAAATAATCTCCTATTCCTGAAAATAGTTGTTTTTTTTTTTAGCCTTTTCAGGCAAATAAAGTTGCCATAGTCACCTCATGCCAAAAATAGTTGCAAATAGTTGCATTTTAGTCGCCTGTGGAAACCCTGAATTCCTTAACAAATTCATTTATCATTAATATAAAACAAAGCAATACAAAAAATAAATTTCATTTACTCTTAAAATGTGACTTTAAAAATAACTACAATTAATTTAAAAGTTTTATTTCTATTATTAATGAAAAAGTTACGTAATTTTTACTTGATGTAATTATAATATTTAAAAAAATGCAACAAAGAATACTAAAAAAAGTTTAGGGGTAAAATTAAGGTTTTCTAGAGAGTAAAAGTCTAATTTTCCACTTAGCCATGACAAAAAATAAATCTTTGCAGTGTTAGCTGAAATTTTTGTTAAAATTTTTTAACAGAAAATTTGGAAAACTGTGATTATTATTATTTTAAGATCAACTTAACGATTGGGAAACGAAAGTTTCCTAGAATTAAAAATACAGATTTATCAAACATTAAAACTAACATTTCATCTGGGGTTTCGAAATTATATGATTCAATGAATTTTATTGCATAAGAGCAATAAAATGTACTATTTTTAATTTACTTGGATAACAATAGAGAGTTTTAACAGCTTCTAGCGTAATAGTATTAATGGAGCACTAAACAACTCATAATGGTTTCAGATTAATATATATATATAATACATAAAAAAAGGAATATTTTTTATATCAATACTTAATTGAAATTTATAACAAAATTTCGAGACTTCATGAATTAAATGATTTTAAAGTAGGGCTTCAATAATCTTAAAGTGAAAATGCAACTTTTCATTTTTGTACAAAAGGAATTTAGACGATGAACCCTCAATTCACTATTTAATAATTCTGCTAATAATTAATTTATTATTGATTGGAATCAATCATTTTTAAAATCAAATGAAATTGATGAATCAGTAATTGTGAGCTTGATATTGTATGTTCAGAAATTAATAAACAGACAATTCACCTTTGAATTCGGTATCATAAAAATTTCATTGTTTAAAATAGTTAATTGAGTATATTAATAGTAATAAACTGTTAATTGTGTGATAAAATTACTGAATACGGAAAAAATTTGAAAAATTTAATACTGCGGGGAAGAATATTGCCCCTAATTTTGAAATATCAAATTTTATCTTTTCTCCTACATTATTAAAAAAAAAAAAAAAGATGTTGGATCAAATATCCAAATCTTTCAACTATACAAATCAATTACATATTTTAAAATTCACATTTGTATTCATAGAAAATGAGATGTTCTGAACAAACAAAAATAATTAGGAGCATCAGGGCTAAAAGATGAAAATCATGATAAATAAGGGCAAAATATTTTTTACCAGGAAAGAAAAGGACAACTAAGATACCTTCTTTTAATCTTTCAATTATACAAATCAATTACATATTTTAAAATTAACAATTGTATTAATAGAAAATGAGATGTTCTGAACAAACAAAAATAATTAGGAGCATCAGGGGTTAAAAATTATGACAAATAAGGGCAAAATATTTTTTATCAGGAAAAAAAGGGCAACTAAGAGCCCTGAATAAGTTAAAGTCTAAATTCAAAATAAAAACAATACCTGAATAGTCACCATAACCAGATGCACCTTCATCATCACTATAACCATTCTCTCCAGTAGCTTGCCTGCCATAATCATGTTTCCTAACTGCAGAAAAAATTTATAATTAACTTAATATTTAAAAGCTTAACACTTAAGAATGGCTTAAAAATCAAAATCAAACTTACTTGACATACTGAGGTCTTTTGTTTGTTGAGTGTCATAATTACATTTTGGACAGGGGATTGGCTGATTTTTTTCATACTTAAAACCTTTTCTCTTAACATGATCTTCACAATAACATGTCTAAATATAAGCATAGAGTCTGTTAAATTTCATTGAAGATAAACTTTCATTTGTGTTTAATAAAACAAAATGAATGAAAAAAAAAATAGTTTTTTGAATTATTAAATAAATCTTAAAAATAATATACATAATGAATGTGATTAAGTATTAATACATTAACATTATAATACATATATATATTAAGTGTCAATACATTAATATTACAATCAAGTTACATTACATTTTCAACTAATAAAATTAAAAAAAAAAAAAAAAAAAACAAAAAAAAGCTGACAGAATTACTATGACTCTGAAAATTTTCAAAATTCACAGACTTTTGCACTTAAATAAGAATAATGATATTAATAATAAAAATAATCCCCTTTCTTTCAGCATTAAAATTAAAAATTCAGAGATTTTTTAAGGGTTTACTTACTGAAGCTGCCTTATTGATATAATTGAAATTTACTTATTAATTTACTTTTTATTGAATAATGTTTTGTTGAAAAAATTAACTTTAGACGAAACTTGGTATTTAGGTGCAAATAGAATTCAACAAATAAATATAAATTTCAATTGTATAAAAAATCACATATAAAAATAAAATAAACTATCATAACCTTGCATCGTAAACAGGAGTATTGGCCAAGCCTATTACATGATTGACCTGAAAAAAAAAACTTAAATTAAAACACTAATGAATAACCATTACTTTATTTACTAAGGTATTTAATATAAAGCAGAGCTTTTTTTTTTTTTTTTTAAAAGATTTTTAAATCAAGATTATGCCTGCTAACATTTAAATTTCAGCAACTTACAATGTGTTACAAACATTCTTCATTTCTTTGGTAAGCGTGCTAAAAATAGTTTCAATAGAGTTTTCGTAAATAATGAAATAAGTAATGTAGGGTTTGTGATAAAAATTTCAGCATTTTCTCTTTCACAAGAAAGCTAATGAGTTCTGGTTTACTTCTAAATGCTCTCTAAAATCTTATTTTTCGACGGTTACTTTAAGAATTAATTTATTGATACATTAAAATAAAAAAATCTTACATTTATCATACACTTATCTAGAATGATTATGTTCATACAGGTATCTAGAATGATGTAAGAATTTGCTACATTTAATAAAGTTTTGAAGCAAAGAACATTGTTTTGATGAGAATGAATTTCATAAAAAGCAATAATAAAGATACTCGATTGAAAAAGAAAATTTTTTATTATTACAAAAAATTATGAAAGTGAGTTTATTTCTTTGCTTTTTATCTTTCTAATATTTAAAAGTCAATTCTAATGTGTTAAACTAAGTACAAGTATGCAATTAAATTTTTTTAGATTGTGTTGAATTTTTACAATTATAACACCTTATAACAATTACATTATTTATAAAAGTGTATTTTTCTGCAATGAGAATTGGCACACCCAAGGGGGATTATAACCCCCTGAATAAAAGAAGTATTACACTAGCTTTTAAAATAATAGTTAAAGTGTTACTTACATTTAAGTGTTTCGGATTCTAAAAATTGACAGCTGGCTTGATGTTCAAATTGATCATCTTCACACAGATATGAGTCACAAAATGAACATTTATAAACACGACCACCTGCAGAAGTGTAAATATTAATGACAATTCAATAGAAATTCCTGTTTACAGCATAGTAACATAAGCAAAATATGTATCACAAATGTATATATTAATTTTAAACAATTCTTTCTAATCAAAAAAACATTTCACAATTCGACAAGTTTGGACAGAAATTTCTCCTCAATGTGCAATCTTTTTAAAGAATAACAAATAGGAAAACTGGATTTTTGACAGACACCTCTAAGAAATTTTTTTTTCCTTTCAAATTCCATTCATGAACGCAGGATGAAAACTTACTTGAATGCAGAAAGAATGATGAAACTGTGGCTTTATGCTACTTTCAGTTTCAGTCTCATCTATTTCCCACATGATCTTACAGGATGGAAAAGCTCTGAGGCTAATAAAAATCTTGTCCTAAAGGTACCTTGTTGAGTTTTTGTAATTCATGGGAGAATTCACCAAACTATTTTTAACGACTATACTAATATTTGTTTGATGTTTACACTGAATTCTTGTGTGGCTTCGTAATGATGAGAAGCCAATAAATTAGTTGTTTAGTTTTTAAAGACTTTGTGTTATTATCTTTCCAGTAAGCATTATTTCACCTGTTTGATTGGAATTATAATCTTTATTGTGAAATTATATTTGGTTGGAGTTATAATCATTAAAATCTTTATAGTGGTTCAATTAGTCCTTTATAAAATGTATGGTTAAGTTAAAAAAAAATACACAACATAATGCTAAATTTTAGAAAATGCAAATGTCAAAGAAAAAAAAAGTAATATTGACAATTCTTATTGTATAAACACATTAAATACTAATATAAATAGCTAGTTGAATTTGTGTTGAAGACATTACCATGATCCCAGACACCTCTTTGACACTCAGCACAAAGAGCATCTTGTAGTGGACAGTTGCATGCATGAGTTGTGAGACATTTTTTACCATGGCATACCCAAGCTTCACAGAAATCACAAATAGCACCCTGGAAACACAAAATTAAACAATTTATACAAATATCAATAGTACAGCTCCTTTAAGGAAAGGGAAATTTAAATACAAAATATTAAAAAAGCATTTTTAACAAATTTTCGGCCAAAGGTGTGTAAACTCACTATTTCAATAAATATTTTTTTATTAAAACCGTGATACATATTTCACACTAACTTTATTTTTCTGCAATTGTCAAGGGTTCTGAAGACATCTATAAAATATTAGCAACTCAATTGGAGTAAACACTTCCTATTGAGAAATTTTTAAACTTCACTAGTATCTTAACTTGAGATGCTTATTGACAAATGCAACTGTTTGAAAATGTATAATTATTTCATTTGAGATTAAATAAAAGTTTTTTAAGCATATTTTAATAAATATAATACCACATTTTATTAAATTTCTATGTTTAGCCTAAAATGGATTAGCTCTTTCTAAAGCTGTAGTTGGTATTTTTAACATCAATTTTAGAAGTTCATGGTAAACTATTTACCAATATTAATTTGTGCATTCATTTGTAAGGACTTCAGCTCTGATGAAGTACGCTTGAATAAAATTGGTGAATATATGTCAGACTTGGAAAATATATAAAAAGATATAATATATTCTATTTTAAGTTTATAGCATTCATAAAATTTGTTTTGTAAATTAAAAAAAAAATGTTTTCAACATTTCATCTAATAAGCTAAATGAATTTTTGTTTTTGGTATCAATTTTGATTCCAAAAATATTTTAGTTTGCCTTTACTAGAGATAAATAGCCTGTTAAAGGGTTAAACAACTAGTTTTCTCACTATGTACACGTATGAATAGCAAAAACATAAATTTTAAATTTATCTGGTGAAAAGTTTTAAACGTTAGAATAAAGTACACCGAAAAGTATTTGTCAGTTAAAGAAGAAAAAAAGAACTAACTTACATAATAAAAGTTAACCAAATGTTTAAAATTTGAAGGACAATGAAGAGTTTTATACCCATTGAAATTATATCAAATTCCTTTTCTTTGAATGTTAAAATAAATGAAAAAAACTTTTGTTGTAATTATTTATAAAAGACAGAATGAAAAAAAAAAAACATTTATAATTTTATTATGGTTAGAATATTTAGCTTGTATATTTATTTTAGAACAAAATAAATACAGAATTGTATATAAATAGTAGCGTTAAAAAAAAAGAAAATAAAAATTGGGAGCTATCAATGGTTATTTTGATACCATTAAAAATAAATACAATAAACATGTGTAAATTGAAAGTTTAACAAATTACAAAACTTATTTATTATTAGATGATTTAGTATATATTTGTCAATTCAATAGAAGAACAGCATTGAATTTTTAACAACTGAAAAAATCTCTTTTATCTGAAATTGAAAGAGGAATATGTTCATATACATATTTAAAGTAAACATTTTACAAGTGTCAGTTTAGGAGTGATTAAACACATAATTTAGCAATTGCCTTTATAGTAGAATAAATACACAGTAACTCATTTGCAGTTTTCATATTTTTGATTTACTTTTTAATATCTCTCAACTTGTTTCCTATTCTATTCTTACTTAACACTAAAATTTCAATTTTTCTACAAATTGTAACCCACATTGTAATTTTTTGTCCAAGCGTATTAAATTATTTCCCCCGTGTAATAATAAAACAGTGAAAACGATTTTTGTTAAAATATTGGTTTAACATACTTTACAGTAAAGATACCATTTTTGTGAATTAGATTTTGAAATATAGCAGATTTAACCTTACAGAGATTTCCTTTTTAAAAATAGCTATTGTTTATTAAAACAATTATCATTAGAAATACAAAAAGGGCTTTCTTAGACATTTTTCTATTCCAATAAGTAGCCTAAGGTAAAAAAAAATCTTACCACCATGCCCATACCAGTTGCATATATGCCAGGATGTTTGACAACACAGTCTCCAGTTTTCAGCATACATTTGATTTTACCTATAAAATTTTAAAATATTATTTTTATATCAGGTCATGACATACTTACATTGTAAATTTAACAGTTTTTATTTTTTACCACAGAACATTGCAGTATTAGGATGATGAATTAAAACATAGATAAAACCAAAATTTCTTATTTATCTTTTAAAAAAAATGCAAATCATAACCATTTCAATTACTTATTGTAATTTATTATCATACTTTTTTAATAAAGGGATGTAGAATACAAAGTTAAAAATGATTTTTTTTTGAGCCCATGGAATTGAAAATGTCTAAACAAAGCTCATATTGAATAACTAAAATACTTCAAAGTACAATTATTCAGAGGCATTCCATTTCTCGATAAATTAATAATACAAAGCTTTCTTTTAAAATTTTTTTAAATAAAAAGTAATATACAATATGAGTATTAAGAACTTTTCCAGTAATACGATGTAGTGAATTAAGAAAGCCAGTCTTAAAGAACAAAAATGCTTCATTAAAATTTTTTAACAAACAAAATAAAATAATGAATTCTTCTCAGTGTTCTTTTTTAACTGCAACAAAATAAATGTTCAGTTGGTGTAATTAAATAAACAGTTTTCAAAAAATAAAATAACTGAAATTTTTAGAATTTTAAATAATAATTGAAAAAATTAACCCTGGTTTTGTAAATCACATTAGCAGTAACAAGCTGACTTCTATTGCTATCGTATAGTAATTATTAAACTGCATGACCTAAATGTTAAACTGCATAACCATAACCCAGCAGACTGAAGAATCCTTGTGTATTAAATGGTGACTGGTGCACCCTAAATCTGTTGGGGGTCACAAAGCCCTCCAAGTTCAAAGTCCCCAAGAGTTTCCTTGTCTTCTAAATTGAGTTCAAAATTACAAGGTTACAGAGTTGTAGTCGCAAAATCAACTTTGAGCTGGCTGTACAATGATAGTTTTAAAATAAAATTCTAAAACTTTCATTAATCTTTTACCATTTGTGATTTTAAATGTCATGTTTAATTAAAGTTTATATTATCACTAAGAATTACTTTCATAATCTTATAATAATACACTGATTTGTTATACTAATAATTTTTTAATAATTGAAGCATTATTTCATGTTATTTCATGTGCTTAAAATAGTTAGTTTATTAATGCAAAAGGAAAAAAAAACTATGAAAAAAATCGATTTATCAAAATCTTCCATGCTTTAGTCATTTAATTTTTAAAACTCTCTATGAAATGTGAAAAATGAGTAAACATAGTATATCTAAGCTTTGTAGTTTTGAAAGGGTAAAAAAGCAGAAAATAATAAAAAAAGCTATAGTAAAAAGGCAGAAATTAATAAAAATAGGATGGAAACCATGGCTACAGTATGTGTGTTATGTGGCAGTATTTATGCTTTATGCTGTAGTTTATCTTAATTTACGCAAGACTCTGCTTCTTAAAATCAAATTAACATTAGAAAATTTGTTTATTTTATTTAAAGAATGCTTCACATAAAGTAGTAGAGATAATCTCAATAGCCCTAAGTCAGAGTTCGCCAAAGTGGTCTATAAAGACTCCAGGGGTCTATTTAACATAAGCGGGGCCCGATCTGAGCCAGGGAATCGAATGGGGGTCAATCCGAACCGGAAGGGTCCATTGGTCGTAGGATTATCAGTATTTTTCAGATAAATGACAATTAGAAATAAAAGAAGAAGACTCGGAAATATATACAGGCAATCTTCAAAAATTGAGCGACGATTTTAAACTGCGCTTTGTTGATTTGGAAAACATTGACATCCCTGATTGGATTATTGTGCCATTTTCTGCTCAAATTGAAAATGTGGACATCAACCTGCAAGATGAGCTTGCTGAATTATTATGGGGATTTGAAGCAAAGACG